GCTCTGGCATACATCCAATTGATGGGAGCTGCTCTCCAGACGGGTCCCGACTTCAGCTTCTCCTGGGAAGTAGCCATCGAATGAGTGAACGGAGGAACGGAGGAGAGGAGAGCCGTCCAATATTCAAGGAAAATGTCAAACGGAAATGAGTGAGGAAATGAAGGGAAAAACTAAGGCAGAAACAGCAGGGAGGACATCTCCCACCAAGACATTTGGACCAAGATGAATGGCGACATTTAGACGTTGCACAGCCGTCCCGGGGTCAAAGACAGTCAGACCGCAGGCCCAGACACAGACACAGACCTAGAAAGAAGGTGAAATTAGCCAGCAGCATCTGTCGGTTCCTAGGACCTGCTCCTGCTCCAGATCCAGAGACAGAGCCAGGGACAGTGCCCGAGGAGGACAAGTGACAAGTTCCAAACAACGTTCCAGCAAAAAGCGACAAAGGAAGGCCCCACACCCGCTCCCACTCGCCCTCTCCCTACCCCGTCGGGAGGCGTGTCTGCCTCGCCACCCCAGAAGTGGCAAAAAAAAACCCAACTTTAAACACGGCCAAGAAAATATGTATATATAAAAAAAATTGCGATTTAGACTCGGGGAAAATCTCTTTTATTTGGTGCGTGTTTTTCCTCGTTTTTATTTGACTTTGGGGACGTCTGGGCCAAGGGGCTGTCCGTGCGGGGGATGCAATATTTCTGATATGTTTCAAAGCGAAAGGATAATGGAATAAAAGGCCAGGAGAAGGCTTCTTCCGCAGGCAATCCTAATATTTGCACAACTGGGATTTTTCGGGTCTTGCGGCGGCAGAGACAGGGTAGGGGGCAGGGCGAAGAGGGGGGTCCCTGGAGTTGGGTTTTTATTTAAATTTTCGTACATTTGAGTTGATTTGCCGACTGGATTAGTTAAGGCTCAGTGGACAAGCGGCAGGAGCAAAAGTACACACAGATGGAGGCAGCGATAAGCGGCAGAGGTGGCACGTTGCCAGGGAAATCTGTCTGGACTCCTGCTGGACTCCCCCTTGGGTCTGCTGGGAGGTGGAGGGGGGGTGTCGGAGGGTCCACTCCTTGAACACGTGTCCCCATTGGCAGTGTCCCTGCTAATTGCCACAAATTGTTGATGTTCCTGTCTCGTGTTGCCCCCACGAGGAACGTACGGTGTTATGTTCAAACTAAATTAAGGCACTGTTCCCTCCAGAGTCCACCCACGGCCGACAGCCAGGATTACAGCTGCAAAAGATGATGCTGAATTTTGATCGGAAAAGCCTTGGGTTCGATCGGTGGATATGGCAATCGATATCTGGCCCCACACCTGCCTCCAAGTCGATGAACAGCAGCGTGTAATGAGTGGAAATGGATTACATGTTGCCACAATTGTTGTTGCATCCACATTAGACACAGCTGGAGCTACTAAAACACCATCCCATAGCCAGATGGAGGCACAGACAGACAGACAGAGAGAGAGAGAGAGAGAGAGAGAGAGAGAGAGAGAGAGAGAGAGAGAGAGAGAGAGAGAGAGAGGGAGAGAATACAGCCACAAGCCGCCACAAAACATTGCAACAGTCGGGCGAACTTTTGGCCCTACCCCTGCGCTTGCCACAGCTCCTGCCATTGCCCTGCCCCTGCTCCTCCCCTCCTCTCCTCTCTGCTTCTAACCCGTTGAAGACGTGCAAATTATTGCCACGGCAGAATTAGGTCAACATGGCGACGTCCCTCTACCGCTGCCACTGGCCCTACTCCTCCTCCTCCTCCTCCTCCTCCTCCTCCCTGCCTCCCTGCCACCCAGTCGTTGCTTGTATTGTTATGGCGCTTTGTTGTTGCTAAATTAAGGGTTGCCATTGCCACCCAACCCCCCACTCCCCACTCCCCAGTCCCGCACACATTTTGCGCTTTGTTTTCCCTGCCAGTAGGAAAAACTTTGCCGCGTTCCTCATTTAACATTTAAATGTGGCACTAGATGTGGAACCGAATGCGGAGGCGTTGAAACTGTCTCAGTGTTTGCTCAACGCCCATTGGAGGTGGGCGTGTCAAGATCCATTTGCATATCTGCCTTCCCACCACCCACCGCCCTCCTCCATCCAGGCCATCCATCCCGGCCATCCATTCATTCATTTATTCATCCAGCGAAACCCAGAAGATCCTTTGCTATTCTTTGCTCAAGGAACATCCAAGGAAGGCTAGGGAAACCCTTTGACATTTTCTGTTTGCCTTTCGCCACCCACCAACCACCAACCACCGCCCACCGCCCACCACCTTCCCCCCATCCTGCTCGCTGGCTGCTGGCTCTCTTCTTGTTTGCTGTACCGCAACGTAGTTCAAGGCAAGCATTTTTCGGCAAGTCACAGACAATGCCTCCCCCTCCCCCTCAGCCGTAGCCCCCTCCCCTCTGTTGTCTAGACTGCACAAAGCTGTTGGGTTTTTTTTGGGGTGCAAATGATTTGGCTTTGATTCTGTTTTTGTTTTGTGGAAAATTTTTGGTAGATGCCAAAGGAAATGGAGCGAAATAGAGAGGATATGCTGTAGGTGAGGGAAATTCAAGGGAAAACAAATCAACAAAAAAGCTGCAATTTCACAGCAAACACAGATACAGATACAGATACAGATACATATAGAGGGATAGAGATAGAGATACAAACGAATGCATGTTCTCCGGTCCACGCCCACACATGCGTCTGCTACGTGACCTCCTTCATTGCCTCCCCCCTACCCCTGGCGCTGGCCCCCCACCCCATCCACAACCCCCACTTGGCCACTTCTCGGCGCTGCTTCAAATTCACTTCACTTCGTTCTTTTCTCTAGTAATTTTCTCTAGCCTCCCCCAAGTCTCGTTCTCCCTCTCTCTCTCTCTCTCGTGTCGAGAGCTTTGCGCCAATTTTTTCATGTTTTCATGCGTGTTGCATGAACAAAAACACACAAACAAAATAAAATCAAAAGAAAAGGTCTTTCAGGGCTGCGACAGAAGCTCTCTCTCTGGATACCCTGCATGCAGGTCGATGTTTGCCCTGTCCCGATTTAGTCATTCCAACTGATCCATGACGAGGCACCCATGAAGCACAGAAGCTTCTACAGATCCTACTATGAATGGTGGCAAAGAGTCGTTGATAATCGGGGTACCCCTTGGGTGCGAAGGGTATGAAGGCAGAGAGAAACAACGACAATGACGAGGATGATTGTTAGAGTGTGGCGGCGGTGGCAGCGGCAGCAGCAGCAGCAGCAACAACAATGGGCATATTGTGTGGCGAAGTCAAGTGCCTGGCAAAGGCAATCACACACACACACATACAGTGGCGGCACGCATAAGATATGTATGTATTTGTATTTGTATTTGTATTTGTACTACTTTCCATTGCATAACTGTAACCGAGCACTTTTCCTTTTGTGCGCTTTCCTTGGAGCAGCAGAGTCCACTTATTGGACTTTTGCCTCTGCTTCGTTTCGCACTCGAGTTTCCGGTAATGAGAGCCTTGTTGGAACACCTTCACCTCCACCCACACACACACACACCTTGACAGGTGCAATTTAGTTGCTCACTCTCTCACTCTTTTGTTTTCCGATCCGATGGAGTATTAGGAATCAATCGATGAGCAATTGGTGGCACAGTGGAAACCCTGCCCGACCTGCCTACCCTCTTCATGGCCTAATAGCCTGTCAACATTGTTGCCATTATTATTATTGCATATTACACACATATTTCCATTGTAAATTGATATCGCGAAACGAGCTGCAAACGAGAGCGCAAACGGGAGAACGCATTTCGATTGCCCAAGCACTTGGGGCCCCATTCCCTATCAGAGACGCATAAATATGTATATAGTAGTGTAGGTTCTGGCCGATAAGTATCTGTACAATATTCGAAACGAGTGTGTTTCATGCCAAAACTTTGTGTAAACAAAAAAAACCAACGAGAGAGCGGAGAGAGATTTGTAAACACTGAGCGGAGGAATGAGAGATGAAATGAGAATTGCCAGCGGAATGTTCTGATGATGCGGTGTCTGTGTGGGCATGTATGTATGCATGTTTGTATGCATGTTGTGTGTACATACATTCCCGTACATTCCCCTGGCAACAAAATTCCGCAAAAGAAAAACAAAAGACAGGAGAATGAAGAATGAAGAATGGAAAAAGGGGAAATGAAATTGGAATTGGAATTGAAACCGAAATCGAAACCCAAGCTAAAGCATGCGCCGCCGACTTGGCGGATGACGCATCTTCCAAGAGAACGCGCGAGAGACAATCCAATTTATGGATAAACATAAATAAATAACACATTCCCAATATTAATCCCCATAATCAATGCAAGCGCGTGGCTGCCAGCCAGAGCGTTGCAAAGGGGAGGAGATTCAGCGGTGACCCCGATAGCCGACAGCCGATAATAAATGAAGCAACCTATCGAATAGAGTAATCTGGATCCTCCGTCTCCATTTTGCACCACTGTGGATCAGGGCTGTCTCCTCTTTGGAGCACTGGAGCCGCCCCATAACAGCGAAAATGCATTATGCCACGCCTTGCGCCCCACAGAGCACAGACCCAAGGCCCAAGGGCAGCTTCTTGGGCAGAGAGCATTTGTCATATTTCCACAAGGCTGCGACGGGCAGCATGCAGCAGGGAGACAGAAGCGGCGGAAAAAGGAAAAAAGAAAAGTAAAACTAAAATTGCGCATATTTTGTGCTGGAATAACTCGGGGAAAACAAGAGGAGGAGGGGGGAGTCGTGGAGAGTGGAGCATGCAGGCGGTGGAAAACAGATGTACAAATGAGTGTGCCAAGTGGGAGGGGGGGGGGGGGGGCTGCACATGCACCCAAGCTGGCAGCAGGAATGCAAAGAAAAACAAAAAGCTGCAGATGGGGCGAGGAGTAGGAGAAGCATTCTAAATCAGAGGCACGCTTTCAGTTGGTTTTTTTTTGTGTGCGAAACATTCCCGGGATAGATGGCGAGCGCAGGCCATACCGTGCTACGCCGAGTGGCGCCCCTGCGCGTACCCCGTGTCTGGTCTGGCATCACTCACCTTGTATACGTCGCCGTAGGTGCCGGAGCCAATCTTCTGAATGAGCTCGTATTCATCCTGCGGATTGCGCCGCGAGATGTCCGAGCTGAGGAGATTGGCGTTGTGGTGGCTGTGCGCGGCGGCCATGTTGGGACCGAGTCGAGTCCCCCGATCGGAGTCCGAATTCGAGGTGTCGAAGCCTATCCAGCTGATGTTCTCTCTGGCTCTTCTTTTGGCCCGTTCCTTCGCGTGCTTTGCTGTGCCGTTCACTCACTAGCGTCTCCCTTTCTTTGGTTTTAATTTACTGATGACTTGTGGACGCCCATCGATAGAGATCGTGCTGCATTTTGTCCGACTGCAGAGAGGGGCAGGCGGGCGGATTACACACACACACACAAACACTCCCGTACGTTCACAAACACACTTTCAATTGCGTAACGTTAACTGGACTTCTTTGTCTATATATATAATCCGTGTTGGATATAGACGGGAGCACGAACACAGATCGAAATTAGCCCAAACTGAAATTAGCAAACACGAAATTAGAAAACCAGAACGGGATCGGATACGGGTGCGGGAAACGGCTGCGCCGGCAGCGACACTCGCGAGTTTGTGACGCAGAAAATGATGGAAACAAAAACCGAATCAAACAGCCAGGAACAACTACAACAACCACAGCAGCGGCGTCACCGGCAGCGTAGAATCAAGGAATGTCAATTCGAAAGGTATGGCAGTGGGGCAGAGCGGCCTCCCAAAGCTGGGACTGGTTCCACCTTCCACTTGAAAATACCTTGCGTAGAATGATAAACGCATTGCAGCGTTTAGCAGTGGGCAAGAGAGAAAGCGTATTTTGGCGGGGGGGTGGTGAGCGCCTTGCGCTTTGCGGGGGCAAGCGAACCAAAAGTCTCTCCTCTTATTTTTTCTCTTCCGTATGCACTTTAATATATTGGTTATTAAACTCAGCGCTCGACCACAGGAATAGATTGCATTGCCCCATTAGGAATATGGACAGACAACAGACAGACAGAACTGCGACGACACACGCGACAACAAAAACAAGGGCGTCGACTGACGACCGTGTTGTTGTTGTTGTTGTTCTGGCTGCTGCTTGTAAATTTGTGAGAAACGCACCCGACGCAACCACGTGACTGACGAGTTTTTTGTTTAATTTTTTTTTTTGGCCGACGGAGAATTTTGCCAATTTGTCAATTTATAATAATTTCACGAACGAAAATTTTTTCGTGCACTTCGTCGCGCAGCCCAAATGTTGTTGTTCTTCTCTCCAGTGTGACCAGCTGCAGTTGTAGGCAAGATCCAAATTAATTTCCATGTTTTCCAGAACCGTATTCGTATTGACCCTCTCTAAATCACACACCTTGCAATGAAATACTGAAGTCTGAAATCGATAAGAGGTTATTTCCCAGCTGATGTGTAGCACGATAACTGAAACCGATAAACATTATTCTTCGGTTAATTGAAGCTCTATACACAAAAGCTAAAGTCCGTAAGACGTAGTTTTACGATCGTTTTCTACTCTGTTCTGACTTTATTTTCGATAAAATATACCGTCGGACCATCAGCAGTATACCGAAATATACCGTCTCACTTGTAAAACATACCATAAATATACCGATGAAAGAATGAATTTAGCCCCCTGTAAACCGCGAAAAATAATAATTTTTATAAATTTTTCTTCCTGTCTTTCCTCTCTATTTACAAAAACCCACGAACTGCGTTAAAATTATATTCTATTCTCATACACTTTGGTCGACAATGGGTTAATCGTTCTCTGTCCATAATCAGAAAACGTATTCCTTGATTTTGATATTCGGTTGAATATAACTAGCTAAGTAGGGTCCTCAGCACTGCACACATATTTTTATCCGAATGATGAATCTATTTTCCACATGACTGGCTAATATAAAGGCTCTTTCGTATTGGGATTGTGTATAAAATAGGATTTCGACAATTAAGGTCATAGTTGAAACGTAGTGGTCATGAAATGAAACGTGTGAAACGTAACGTCATTTGAACACTTGTTGCTGGTCAGTCGGTGGAATGGACATATTTATACCCTATTTGTTTAAATTAATTGAAATTCTGTTTTCCAAACTAATTTGAAACGTTGCTTATGACTTTTTTTAAGATTGATAGGATATATTTTTCTAGTTCATGGCAATTTGACAGGATTCGATATTCTTGTGCGATAAACGTATTTAGGATGTGGATGTTGCTTTGGCGCCCAACCCACTTTGACCCCAATTTGAATCGGAATTGCAAATGTACTTTTACCAGTAATTTTAATTGAAAAATTCTTAGTTCGCTCTTATTTTGTACAATTATTATTCGTGTTTGTAGAAAATACAAAATATCAAAGGGGTCTACTTGTTGACACAGAGAAAGGTTAAAAACGAAACCAAAGAACTTATTGCACGTGGGTGTGTGTGTGTGTATAAATAAATAACATAATGTATCAAAGATTTCGATAGCCGAAGTGTCCCGGTGTTCCTCCCTCTAAGCATAGTAATTCGATTAAGTGTCCCCGGCGTCGGAGCTGGGATGGACGATGGATTGGGGGCCTCTTTACAGTTTCCGTATACTCCGATCCGCCGCAGCCGAGTTAAGTTTGGTTCTGTGAAGGAAATGCAAAGAGATCGGGTTAGTGAAGTCTGAAGAGGCAAGAACATCCAGCAGAATCAACCCCAAAACAGGGGTATAAAAAGCTTCAAACAACAACAGATCTTGCCGAATCACAAGCAACAGCCTGAACCATCGAAAGCGAACCGAATCGAGTCGAACGAAACGGAACGCAGCTGGGTGTTAATTTAGTACACAACACAGTGGTGGAGCAAGAGCAGAACAAGGAACTTCCATGCAGATGGCTTACCCGCCTAAGGAGTGGATAACTCTCGAACTCTCTCCTAAAGTCGAACGAATCTAGAACTGAGGCTGTTTCGAAGGACGGATGGAGGAGTTTTCAGAAGAAGGAGCATTTTTTTGTTTTCTTAAATGTCGGCCGCTGCCGCCCTCAAACTAGTTTGAATATTGTTAAGTTTTAAGTTGATTTTGCTGCACTTAAGCCTACTGCTCACTGGCCATCCTGTGTCCGTGTGGTGGTGGTGCGAGTAGGTGGTTGTGTGGCGGTCGAGTGGTGCGATGAGAGAAGAGCTCGGATTAGTGTCGATAAAGAAGACAACAGAAGGAACTGAATTGAATTTTATAGCGTGGCGAAGCTTGATGGATGAATGAGTATCGGATATGGGATGATCTGATGATCGTTCTGGATGGTTAGCAGTCAGCAGAAGCCGAACCAAAATAGTACATAAATCAAGCAAAATTTAAACAGAGCTTTTAACGCTCTGCCGAGGCCAATTCCACGGTTTAAGTAAATCAAAAATTGCCATTGCTCGTGGTAAATATTCAACTGCATTTGGCGGATTTTACAAAAGAAGAATTACGAGTATTTAGATAGTTTTTGGTAGACAAATAGATAATGCTTTAGATAACTAGGTTCAGATCTCTCTCTGTGAGTACCGGATAGGAGTTTCTAAAAGGATCAAAGGGGTGTGTTTGTGTGTGTTTTGTGTGTGTGGAAAGAGAAAAAATAAAACGAAATCAATAAATTAGTATGGGGCCACTCCCCAAGTCAGTGTTAAAGAAGGGAGAAGGAGGTGGCGCAACCAAGCCCGGGGGCAGCGATGCCCGGCCACTTACAGTTCCATGGAGAGCACCGTGGGATTGGGACAGGCCTGGGGCGCCCGTATGTGACACTGCTTGTGACAGATCAGCTGGCAGTCGCGGCACTCGTATCCCTGCTTGCCCGGCCTCCGAGGTATGGACTTCATGCAGATCGAGCACTGCAAGCCGCTTCTGTAAGAGCCAGAGGAAGGGCATAAGAAGTTGGAGGCTAAGCGGAATCAGTTGGCTCACTTACCCGCTCAAATGCTTGGCTATGAAGGTGTGATCATTGTAGATGTGCAGCTTGGTGCCCTTGCGGCGCCAGCGCGGTCTCTGGGCAATGGCCAAAGGCACAATAAAGTGGCTGAAACGAAGGCAATGCGTGAGAATCAAAGGAAGATCACGATTCGGTTCAGCACTCACCGCTTCACGCCGTTCTCGATGGTCTCCAGGACCAAGGTGGAGGCCTCGTGTACGTAGGTCTTATTGCTGGCCGAGGAGAAACCTGAGATGGCCGAGGATTCTGAAATTGAAGAGCGTCGTGAATGGTCGGTGATGGCGGAGCCAATGCCCATGCGGGGTCCTGCGTAATTTAGTGTTTCGTTTTAATAGTGTGTTCGAATAGCATTTCCCACAGTGGAGAGTACAGATTGGAGATTGTAGATTGGAGAGTTACACACAAACCAAGCAACCGGTTTAGACCAAATTATATGTTTTTTTTTTTGCATATGTAAATAAAAAGAGAGAGAACAAAAAAGATACCAAAAGAGAATGTGAGAAATAATTATAAATAATGATCGTTAAAGCCGTATGCGAACCGAAGGGAAGCAGATCCAAAAACGCAATATATCCAAATCCAAAATAAAGCCAAATGTTTGCGAAATATTTCAAAATATTCAAACGTGTTTGTGTTGGGGTGTGTTTGGTGTGTGTGTGTGTGTAGTGTAGGTGGAGGACCGTGGAATACATACAGATTTGTGTTGGGACACAGTTCGGTTAGCATTTGATGGGGAGAGAGAGAGTGTGAAGATAAAGAGAGAAGACAAGACAAACAAGATATATAGATACAGAACGGTTAACGATACAGATACAGATGCGGATACAAGTGAACGATCAAAGACTTAAACATAATGGTAGGTGCTTAGCCGACAGATAGATAGATAGATTAAACATTAAACATTGGGATAGATACAGATGGGCAGCAGAGGCAACAGCTGGGATATGCACGGGGGAACGTCTGATTGAACGTCAGATGGGATGGATGTCCTGGTCCTGGCTATCCCAACCCTTGATCCAATTGTTTATTGCGGATTAGATGCAGGAAAAGTCCGAAATGTGCGGATAAGCTCTGGGAGATGCATGGCTGGTTAGAACTGGGAGGGATGCTGTGATGCTGGTGCATGGGGTCTGCGACTGGGTGGACGATTGGGTAATTACCAAGTGAATTGCTTTTGGACAGAGTGGCACGATCGACAGATAATGAACGGGAAGAATCACCATTGAGGGTTCCGGTGGCGGTTCGGGGTAGTCCTGTCGATGTTGTTGTAGTATTGGCGTAGTTCGAGTTGGTGGCTGATAGTGATTTGTGATTGCTATTGGGCTGATCTGCAGAGAGGGTGCGTGTCTTGGAGCGGCTGAGCCGCTTCTTCAGGGTGCCAAAGAAATTTTTTGCTGCGCCCACGATCGTCCAGCACGTCCATGCCCTCACCCGCCTGCAGATGCCCCAGATGGGCCCCGTTCCGCGGCAGGCTGTTCATGCTGTAGCCACCGCCGTTGATGTTGGAGCTGCCGTTGCCGTTGCCATTGCCACTGCCGTTTCCGGCTAGCCCACTGCTCCCGTTGAGGTTGTAGTTGTTGTGGTAGCCGCTACCGTTGGGCGAGGAGGCTGCGTTGGGCTGCCCGAACTGGAAGAACACTCACAGAGATTAGCAGAGGACTCAGTGGGGGTGCGGGCAAAACTGCAAACTTCATGCTACGCCATGCCATGGCGCGGTACCTCCGTGGTACTGTCCTCGTTGGCGGTACCACTACCGTTACCTGTTTCGTTGTGCGGCTGTATGGCAGTGGGGCAGAGCGGCCTCCCAAAGCTGGGACTGGTTCCACCTTCCACTTGAAAATACCTTGCGTAGAATGATAAACGCATTGCAGCGTTTAGCAGTGGGCAAGAGAGAAAGCGTATTTTGGCGGGGGGGTGGTGAGCGCCTTGCGCTTTGCGGGGGCAAGCGAACCAAAAGTCTCTCCTCTTATTTTTTCTCTTCCGTATGCACTTTAATATATTGGTTATTAAACTCAGCGCTCGACCACAGGAATAGATTGCATTGCCCCATTAGGAATATGGACAGACAACAGACAGACAGAACTGCGACGACACACGCGACAACAAAAACAAGGGCGTCGACTGACGACCGTGTTGTTGTTGTTGTTGTTGTTCTGGCTGCTGCTTGTAAATTTGTGAGAAACGCACCCGACGCAACCACGTGACTACTGACGAGTTTTTTGTTTAATTTTTTTTTTGGCCGACGGAGAATTTTGCCAATTTGTCAATTTATAATAATTTCACGAACGAAAATTTTTTCGTGCACTTCGTCGCGCAGCCCAAATGTTGTTGTTCTTCTCTCCAGTGTGACCAGCTGCAGTTGTAGGCAAGATCCAAATTAATTTCCATGTTTTCCAGAACCGTATTCGTATGGACCCTCTCTAAATCACACACCTTGCAATGAAATACTGAAGTCTGAAATCGATAAGAGGTTATTTCCCAGCTGATGAAACCGATAAACATTATTCTTCGGTTAATTGAAGCTCTATACACAAAAGCTAAAGTCCGTAAGACGTAGTTTTACGATCGTTTTCTACTCTGTTCTGACTTTATTTTCGATAAAATATACCGTCGGACCATCAGCAATATACCGAAATATACCGTCTCACTTACAAAACATACCATAAGTATACCGATGAAAGAATGAAAATTCATCATACGCTTTGGTGTACAATGGGTTAATCTTTCTCTGTCCATAATCAGAAAACGTATTCCTTGATTTTGATATTCGGTTGAATATAACTAGCTAAGTAGGGTCCTCAGCACTGCACACATATTTTTATCCGAATGATGAATCTATTTTCCACATGACTGGCTAATATAAAGGCTCTTTCGTATTGGGATTGTGTATAAAATAGGATTTCAACAATTAAGGTCATAGTTGAAACGTAGTGGTCATGAAATGAAACGTGTGAAACGTAACGTCATTTGAACACTTGTTGCTGGTCAGTCGGTGGAATGGACATATTTATACCCTATTTGTTTAAATTAATTGAAATTCTGTTTTCCAAACTAATTTGAAACGTTGCTTATGACTTTTTTTAAGATTGATAGGATATATTTTTCTAGTTCAGGGCAATTTGACAGGATTCGATATTCTTGTGCGATAAACGTATTTAGGATGTGGATGTTGCTTTGGCGCCCAACCCACTTTGACCCCAATTTGAATCGGAATTGCAAATGTACTTTTACCAGTAATTTTAATTGAAAAATTCTTAGTTCGCTCTTATTTTGTACAATTATTATTCGTGTTTGTAGAAAATACAAAATATCAAAGGGGTCTACTTGTTGACACAGAGAAAGGTTAAAAACGAAACCAAAGAACTTATTGCACGTGGGTGTGTGTGTGTGTATAAATAAATAACATAATGTATCAAAGATTTCGATAGCCGAAGTGTCCCGGTGTTCCTCCCTCTAAGCATAGTAATTCGATTAAGTGTCCCCGGCGTCGGAGCTGGGATGGACGATGGATTGGGGGCCTCTTTACAGTTTCCGTATACTCCGATCCGCCGCAGCCGAGTTAAGTTTGGTTCTGTGAAGGAAATGCAAAGAGATCGGGTTAGTGAAGTCTGAAGAGGCAAGAACATCCAGCAGAATCAACCCCAAAACAGGGGTATAAAAAGCTTCAAACAACAACAGATCTTGCCGAATCACAAGCAACAGCCTGAACCATCGAAAGCGAACCGAATCGAGTCGAACGAAACGGAACGCAGCTGGGTGTTAATTTAGTACACAACACAGTGGTGGAGCAAGAGCAGAACAAGGAACTTCCATGCAGATGGCTTACCCGCCTAAGGAGTGGACAACTCTCGAACTCTCTCCTAAAGCCGAACGAATCTAGAACTGAGGCTGTTTCGAAGGACGGATGGAGGAGTTTTCAGAAGAAGGAGCATTTTTTTGTTTTCTTAAATGTCGGCCGCTGCCGCCCTCAAACTAGTTTGAATATTGTTAAGTTTTAAGTTGATTTTGCTGCACTTAAGCCTACTGCTCACTGGCCATCCTGTGTCCGTGTGGTGGTGGTGCGAGTAGGTGGTTGTGTGGCGGTCGAGTGGTGCGATGAGAGAAGAGCTCGGATTAGTGTCGAAACAGAATACAACAGAAGGAACTGAATTGAATTTTATAGCGTGGCGAAGCTTGATGGATGAATGAGTATCGGATATGGGATGATCTGATGATCGTTCTGGATGGTTAGCAGTCAGCAGAAGCCGAACCAAAATAGTACATAAATCAAGCAAAATTTAAACAGAGCTTTTAACGCTCTGCCGAGGCCAATTCCACGGTTTAAGTAAATCAAAAATTGCCATTGCTCGTGGTAAATATTCAACTGCATTTGGCGGATTTTACAAAAGAAGAATTACGAGTATTTAGATAGTTTTTGGTAGACAAATAGATAATGCTTTAGATAACTATGTTCAGATCTCTCTCTGTGAGTACCGGATAGGAGTTTCTAAAAGGATCAAAGGGGTGTGTTTGTGTGTGTTTTGTGTGTGTGGAAAGAGAAAAAATAAAACGAAATCAATAAATTAGTATGGGGCCACTCCCCAAGTCAGTGTTAAAGAAGGGAGAAGGAGGTGGCGCAACCAAGCCCGGGGGCAGCGATGCCCGGCCACTTACAGTTCCATGGAGAGCACCGTGGGATTGGGACAGGCCTGGGGCGCCCGTATGTGACACTGCTTGTGACAGATCAGCTGGCAGTCGCGGCACTCGTATCCCTGCTTGCCCGGCCTCCGAGGTATGGACTTCATGCAGATCGAGCACTGCAAGCCGCTTCTGTAAGAGCCAGAGGAAGGGCATAAGAAGTTGGAGGCTAAGCGGAATCAGTTGGCTCACTTACCCGCTCAAATGCTTGGCTATGAAGGTGTGATCATTGTAGATGTGCAGCTTGGTGCCCTTGCGGCGCCAGCGCGGTCTCTGGGCAATGGCCAAAGGCACAATAAAGTGGCTGAAACGAAGGCAATGCGTGAGAATCAAAGGAAGATCACGATTCGGTTCAGCACTCACCGCTTCACGCCGTTCTCGATGGTCTCCAGGACCAAGGTGGAGGCCTCGTGTACGTAGGTCTTATTGCTGGCCGAGGAGAAACCTGAGATGGCCGAGGATTCTGAAATTGAAGAGCGTCGTGAATGGTCGGTGATGGCGGAGCCAATGCCCATGCGGGGTCCTGCGTAATTTAGTGTTTCGTTTTAATAGTGTGTTCGAATAGCATTTCCCACAGTGGAGAGTACAGATTGGAGATTGTAGATTGGAGAGTTACACACAAACCAAGCAACCGGTTTAGACCAAATTATATGTTTTTTTTTTTTGCATATGTAAATAAAAAGAGAGAGAACAAAAAAGATACCAAAAGAGAATGTGAGAAATAATTATAAATAATGATCGTTAAAGCCGTATGCGAACCGAAGGGAAGCAGATCCAAAAACGCAATATATCCAAATCCAAAATAAAGCCAAATGTTTGCGAAATATTTCAAAATATTCAAACGTTTTTGTGTTGGGGTGTGTTTGGTGTGTGTGTGTGTGTGTAGTGTAGGTGGAGGACCGTGGAATACATACAGATTTGTGTTGGGACACAGTTCGGTTAGCATTTGATGGGGAGAGAGAGAGTGTGGAGATAAAGAGAGAAGACAAGACAAACAAGATATATAGATACAGAACGGTTAACGATACAGATACAGATGCGGATACAAGTGAACGATCAAAGACTTAAACATAATGGTAGGTGCTTAGCCGACAGATAGATAGATAGATTAAACATTAAACATTGGGATAGATACAGATGGGCAGCAGAGGCAACAGCTGGGATATGCACGGGGGAACGTCTGATTGAACGTCAGATGGGATGGATGTCCTGGTCCTGGCTATCCCAACCCTTGATCCAATTGTTTATTGCGGATTAGATGCAGGAAAAGTCCGAAATGTGCGGATAAGCTCTGGGAGATGCATGGCTGGTTAGAACTGGGAGGGATGCTGTGATGCTGGTGCATGGGGTCTGGGACTGGGTGGACGATTGGGTAATTACCAAGTGAATTGCTTTTGGACAGAGTGGCACGATCGACAGATAATGAACGGGAAGAATCACCATTGAGGGTTCCGGTGGCGGTTCGGGGTAGTCCTGTCGATGTTGTTGTAGTATTGGCGTAGTTCGAGTTGGTGGCTGATAGTGATTTGTGATTGCTATTGGGCTGATCTGCCGAGAGGGTGCGTGTCTTGGAGCGGCTGAGCCGCTTCTTCAGGGTGCCAAAGAAATTACGTTTTTTGCTGCGCCCACGATCGTCCAGCACGTCCATGCCCTCACCCGCCTGCAGATGCCCCAGATGGGCCCCGTTCCGCGGCAGGCTGTTCATGCTGTAGCCCCCGCCATTGATGTTGGAGCTGCCGTTGCCGTTGCCATTGCCACTGCCGTTTCCGGCTAGCCCACTGCTCCCATTGAGGTTGTAGTTGTTGTGGTAGCCGCTGCCGTTGGGCGAGGAGGCTGCGTTGGGCTGCCCGAACTGGAAGAACACTCACAGAGATTAGCAGAGGACTCAGTGGGGGTGCGGGCAAAACTGCAAACTTCATGCTACGCCATGCCATGCCATGGAACTCCTCCAAGTCTTTTGGGAACTCTCTTGAACTCACCTCCGCGGTACTGTCCTCGTTGGCGGTACCACTACCGTTACCTGTTTCGTTGTGCGGCTCGTCGCCACCGCCACCGCCGCCGCTGGCCAGCGGCTGGACCTCCGTGCCGGGGTCCAGCTCGAGCTCCAGCTGGAGCTGCTCGGCCTTGGCGGCCGCTGCCTCGCTGGCGGCCCGCTCGAAGGCCTGGGCCACGGCCTGGTCCAGCTCTGTGGGCGATTCAAAGACCTCGATGCGGCCATCCTTGTTCAACTCGACCTGGACGGGGGCGTGGGCGTGGTTAGAGAAGCGCGAGGGTTAGGCAAGAACGAGCAATGGAACAGAACGAGAAACAGTTGAGATTAGCTTGACTAGATCCTAATCCTGCATGACGGTGCTCATCATGAGGGGGGGCTGTGGGTGGTGGGTGGTGGGGGGGTTAGAGACGCAGTAACTCAATGGAACTCAAAACGAAACGGATGACCAAGGCTCGAGGCTGATCGGGTCTGGAATTACCTTAAATGCATTCGGATTGCCCGAGTTCTGTGCGGGATCGGGAGATGGAATGAAAGAAACAAAGAGAGAACGAAATTATAGAACCAAAGAGACAGCGGGAGCCGGGAGACCGGGATATGATAGAGTCAATGCTTGGTGGAGCATCAGCATCCCACTCACCCGCTGGACGCTGTGGATGATGAGGGTGCTCTTGCTGGGCTGGCCCCCGTTTCCGGTGGCGGAGAGGGCGCCGTCCTGCAGAGCGCGGACCGCGGCGTCGGCCAGGTCCGCTCCGTTGCGGATGTGTTCATTGATGGCCGGCGTGCTGAGGCGCAGGGCCTCCTTGAGGCGTTGTGGACGGGCGCCCGCCGGGATCTCGGCTCCCTCGATGAACACGAAGTCCACGGTGATGGCGCCGGCCACGGGCTGGGTTTCGTAGGGCCGTGGCTGGAGCTGCAGCAGCTGGGTGGAGGCCGGACCCACGGCCAGCTCGTCGATGCCGACCAGGCCGAGTCCGAGGAACTTGGGCGGATCCGAGGCGATCACTGGATGGTCGTACACCTCGAAGAGAATCTCTGCAGACTGCGGGGAGAGTTCACTGGAACGAAACGAAACAGGAAAATGAGTCCGGGGCATCCCCAGCAGGAGATCTGCTGTTCAAAGACTCACAAGAGGAAGTGCTCATCCCAGTAGGGTCTGCTGCCGCGCTGGGTGCCCGTCTGGTTCTTCTGGGCCGGCTCGTCCATCTCGATGACCACATAGGGGTCGTGGGCGTCCCTCAGGCCCTCTCCCTTGACGATCTTCACCAGCAGCCGCCTGCCGGACACCATGTGCTGCGAGTCCCGCAGGCCCACGCCTCCCATATGGTGCTCCATGTTGTGCTGTGTGTGGAGGAGGCAGAGCATGCAATGAGTCAGTGCGTGAGAGACAGAGACGGAGACGGAGAGAAAGAGATGGGTGGGTAGAGAGGGGGCTCAGAGACGGAGAGTGATAGAGAGAGAGAGAGAGACACTGATGCTGTTTTCGGTTAGGGCTTATGAAATTCGCCTTTAATTAGCAACTTGTGTGACATTCACTAGAAATTGTAATAATATTGAAAGTATTGGTTCCCCTGAAAAGAGAGAGCGCAAAAGAGAGAGAGAGAGTTCTTTACTGGCAGGATACGGATACGCAAATGGCAACAAGAGGGGGATGAGGCGAGAGAAAGAAGGCGAATTCCATAAACGAAGGCATGGCAGATATACACGGGTGGTGGTGGAGACAGAGGGAGCAATGAGAAGTGTCTGTTTGTCTGTGGAGCCAAGGGGGAACAGAGTGGAATCACTGTACAGGAAAAAGGAGTCCTGTTTTCGAGTTCTGTGTGGAATGACGACGAACTGGAAAGACAGTCAAACACGAAACAGAAACAACAACAAACAGAGGCTGCACTCCGCACTGCTCCCAACGCTCACCGCCAGGGAGTCATAGTGAACGGGATAGATTACGGGCAGATCCAGGGGCTCCACCTCGGCCCGCGGGCAGGTGGAGTAGATGGAGAAGTCCACGGGGTAGACGGTGTCGCGCAGGGCCGTCGTCAGGATGTCGCTGATGACCGTCTGGAGCTGCTGTTCGTCCTGGTCCATGGGCTTGATGGCCCCCACGCTGTTCATCGCAATGCGCACCTGTGGCGAGGCGAAAAGACGAAAGGTTATCCATGGACGGAGGGCCACAGCACACACTCACATCAGGATAGCCCTCGACACGCATCTCGCCCTTGAGACTGTTGTAGTTCATGGGGATGGCCATGCGGGCGCGGAATCGCGACACGGTCACCTTGTAATGGGAGGTCTCCACCTTGCCCGACTTCTGGCGGAAGGTCTTCACCTGCAGCACTGGCATGGCGTCGCAGTCGAACGTGATGAGCTGTGGAGACTCGAAATTAGTCCAGTCTGGGGCCTCATCTCACGACTTACCATATCCGCAGGATTGTTCTCATCGCAGTTGCAGAAGATGTTGTTCAGGCCCGGAGCAGGGCTATCGGGCAGCACTCGGACCACTTCCACGGCCACTCCATGCTGCAAGCGACAAACAGAGAGAGAGAGAGAGAGAGAATCAGAGATCTGGTTTTGGGGATTGCTTGGGCATTACGTAACCCGACGCGATTGGGGACTGGGGCTCAGAAGTGAGCGCATTTGGGGCGCGAGTCAGAGGCTCAGTCGAGAGTGACTAACGATTCCGCGCTGACCTTGGCCTACGGCCGGCTCCGAATCGGGGCTGGGGGAGCGCGTAAAAGGCGATAAAAAAATGTAAGAGGCAAAAAACAACAAACAGAAAAACACGTTTCGACATCGGTTACGGCTGAGCGAGTTCTCAGGCGGGCGGGCAGACAGGCGGAGGGGGGAGGGTCGAACACTGATTTCAAGTTGAAGAACAAAGGTCAATGGACGCTGTAGACCAAGCTGGAGCTCGGCCATGACATCAGACCCCAGGAAGGTGGCGTGAATGATGTCAAAGCCGGCTGGCTGGCTGCTGATGTCACTCCGGCGGATGGGCACTCACCTCCTCCACAGACTTGCGGAGCGAGTCGTTGATGGCTATCACCCAGGACATGAGCAGCTCGTTGACAATGACTAGATCGCTGTACAGCCAGCGGAACACTTGGCTGGTCCACGTGACAGAGCTCTGAAGAGACACAAAAAGGCACACAGTTTACAGATTAGAGAGTGTTCTCCCTTTCGGGAAATGTGTGTGTTTTCTTACCGTTTCGGGTCCCACCACATTGGAGGGCGGTGGAACATAGCGCTTCTTGCGATTCTCCGGCCCCGTGGAGCTCTGGCGTACCACGCGGCGACGCGGTCCGGCGGCGCCAGCGGCACCACCGCTTAGGGGCGAGGCCGAAGAGCGACCACGGCCAGCCGAGGCGCCAGTCAGAGGCTTGGAGAGATCCTCGACTTTGCTCTTGGTGGCCAGCATGTCCCTGGGCTCGGAGAGTCGCTTCTCCGGCTTGGAGGAGCCGCCGAGGGCCAAAGCGGCCGCCCCGGGGGCCACGCTGCTCTGGCGACTGTTGGCGGCACTGGGCGTCTTCTCCTTGTTGAGATACTTGCGGTAGAGCAGCTTGCACAGCCAGACAGAGAAGAGGGCCAGCACGGCCCACAGAAAGATGAAGATGGCTAGGGAGTCCATTGTTAAGTCACCAAGTCCCTCGAACGAACAGATATAGTCATCGATTTGGTCTGCCAGATCCATCGTTTAGCAGCAGACGGTCGAGTTCCAGCCGAGGTCCAGGCGTTGGTTCATCATCGTCGTAGTCGGTGTTCTGCCGAAGATCAGACAGACAAATAGTTGTATTATACGAGAGCCAGAGTACTCGTGGTATGTGCCACAGACAGAGATAGAGAGAGAGAGCAACAGATGAGAGATGTCTTGGTTTCTGTATGCCATGAAAGACCTCCCATCCCTCCCTTCCTACCCGCAGCCCCACCGCTGGGCGTGTCTATTTATAGAACTCGAACAATTTTCATGAAAATGAAAATATGAAAAATATCGCCACTCACAGAGAGTCGTGTCCACAGTGGAAGAAGAAACCAGCTGCAGGATCACCCACTGACCCAATAGCTCTCGGATCGGATCGAATCTATTATCTTTGAAATATCTTCTATGGAAGGAACTCTGCACCAAAAAAATAGGGAATTGAAGGAACTCGAAGACGGATCGAACGAAGTGTTGGCAGAAAACGGAACCGAACGGAAACCAAACCGAAACTGAACTGTCGACCCTGTCTGCCTGTATCCGAATCCGAATCCGTATCCGAATCCGAATGGGATCTGCTCTCGTACGAGAGAAGCATTCTCTAAGTATCCGTGCGCCGACGCCAGCAGCTCTCCCTAGAGATGGGAGGCAGCCCGGGCCCCGGCCCCTACCCCTACCCCTGCCTCTGCGGTGGTTTCGTGACTCGGGCACGTTTCCAACTCCAACGATTCAACGATTCCATGGTGGGACTGCTGTTGACGTCATGGTTCTTTATTCTTTTTTAGGTCGCAGCGAAACACCGCCGAAAAGTAGAGGAGGAGAGACAGCAAAACAGAAAGAGAGAGAGAAGAAATGACGTAAGGGAATCGGAGGTTGAGCTCGAGGTGAGTAGGGGAGGGGAGGAATGGGAAGCGCTTTTTACGACTTCGTCGGATTGTTTATACTGCGCTTGTTCTGGCTTTATTTTTAGATATTTCTGTACCACCGCACCACCCCTCCCACCCGCCCCCCTCTCTGTCTGCCTCTCTCTCTCTCTTACTGCCAAATGCGACCCCTATACACGCATTTATTAGAAACCATTTGAGAGAATTTGCATTCAACAAAACGGCTAAAGAAAATAGAAAAGAAAATACTTGTGCCACCCCCCCACCACCCACCTCCGTCTGCCTTGGCACTTGTTGCAGTTAATATTTGAACATTGTTCAGTTCGTGCCCCATCGATTGCTGCCCCCACACCATGCCATCCCATCTGTTGTAGCTTTTCGTGAAAAGCTTGCCATTGCCAAGAGGAAAATGCCGAGCGAAACATTTCGGCCATTTGTCCATCGCTCAACCGCGAAAAAAAAAACAATAACAAAACGCCACTTTGCATGCGATAATCTGTTTTATATCAATAGAAACCATTCCGTCTCTGTCTCTCACTCACTCTCTCTCTCTCTCTCTCTCCCTCTCACTATTTATATATCTTTTCGTCTTTCTCTTGTGGCTCGGAAGAATATTCCTTGTTTTCTTGGGCTTTCTGCGCTGCTGACTTTTGGACATTCTCTTGCTTTGGCTCTGGGTTTTCCAAGTAGAGACTCGCAGCCACTGGCGCGTCTATTGACCCCTTTCGGCAGGGGGCACTCGCCCTGGTCTGAATGGGGCGTCGAGAGGGCGATTACGAGAGCAACAAGTACTCTTCTCTCGGGTATTTTTAACCCAAGAAAAGCATCGGGGCACCAGAGGAATCCGCCCGTTGCCAAAGGGGCGGCGGTCTGTCACGCCCCACAGCCCCAGCAGTGCCACAGCAGTGTACGATCTACGATCAGCCATCCTCTAACAGGCATGGAGTGTCCACATCTTTTCTTTGATCAACACGCACTAACTAGAGAGGAAATTGCTACCAAAATAATGGCCCAGAAGTGCCGTTGGGGCCAAGTTAATTAAAGCGAACCTCTTGGCTGCCACTGCCACTGCCACTTCATGTGGGAACACATGCAAACAACACTCTTTGTTGGGCAACCCAGAAGCCACTCTTTCTCTTGTATTTAATGAGCCACCAGAGCCGCACCGCTCGGAGCTTGCAACAGCAACAGGTTGCCGGCACTTCCGTTTTAATTGCTGGCTTCGAAAGGTCAAAGGGTTCGGGTTGAATGCCCCCTTCGGGTGAGCAGCTGCCTCACCTGCGTGTCCACAGAATGCCGCAAATGGAGAAATTCTAAGCGGATTGCGGCTGAGGCATTCAAAGTATTCGCAATGCAAACACTTAGAGTGCACCTCCGAATAGCTAATCACATTCAAAATGCGAATAAATATTGAATATTGATTGCGTAGCCCAGCGGCAAGTGCCTATAAATAGAGATGATGATGGGGTACGGCGATCCGAAGCCGGCAATCGGCCAGCGCCGGCGAAGGTCATGCCGCGCAGATGAATCAAAATTGTGTGGGGGGGGGGGGATGGGTCTTTGTTTATCTGTCTGCCACTTGACTCACTGCAGACGGGGTTCCACCTTTGTTGACTCTGGCCTTCTAATCTTATCGCAGGGAAGGCGCCTCTGCGCCTTCTTCTTGCCCCCTTTTATCGCGTTTAATTGTTTAATTGTTAATGAATGTGAAGTGCCGCTCGATAGGGATCTCGAGAGTTGGCCATGGCAGTGACAGCACCAGCAACAGCAACAGGCTGTCTCCTATTCACCTATTAATGAGTCAATAAAATGTGCCAAATGTGGAAAAGACACTCGATGATGTCATCCCATCAAACATTCAGAGTGTTCTATGCGAGTATTCCATTCGAATTGATAAGGCATCGGACTAGGCTCTCTACGACTTCTCTGCCTCTGAGGAAGGGGGGCATGGGGATCGAGATCTAATCGAGCTGCCGTGCAGTGCCTGGCATAAACCAAATTGCACTTCAATTTCTGGCTCGTTCGATTCCCCGATATCGGTTGACCTTTGGCTGTTTTGCCATTCGAGCGTGTCAAGGCTGGGTCTATTTTTGGAAGCTCTGCCAAAACAGGGCGTATGCGTAATATGCGAATGGAGATTTATGGGGGCACAGGGGCACGGGGGCACGACTGAGCTGAGGGGCCAACATCAACACGCAAGCACTCTACTCCCCAATGCAGCCTGATGACCAACCCCAAAGGGGTGGCGGGAGCCACAGTTGCGTGCTTATACAACACAACAGCCAGAGTTCGAGGCAAAAGACAAAGTTCAGAAGACACAACAACATCTACAGCTACAGTAACAGCTACGAGTATTTTTCACAACTCTCAGGCAAGCGAGAGCTGGAGAACCTTTCGACTTTCGACTCTGTGCTCTGTTCTCTGTGAAAACTCGTTCCGTCCCCATACACCAATTATCGATTAAAGCTCGCGAAAGGGGCAAGAAACCAATCGATTGGAGTGTGAAAATTGGACCAGAGAAGCGAACGGATTACGCATGGCTACAAGGATATGTCCTCGATTGATTTTGTGTCTCCCGATTGGTCGGCAAATGAATGCCACGCTTTTGTGCGGAGTAATTTGCTCGGCCTATGTGAGAGGCACTTTAACCCCGCCACCAAGTGTTTTGACCAGTCCAGGACCCGCGGCCAACCGGGGTTGCCAGGCCAACCATCAATAATTGAGGATTCGTGTGAACAGAGCGACATTTCGAATTGATTTGTCAACGTTCCCGCGCTCCCAGGCGGAGCCCCAGAGCAGAATTCATCAAAGTTTCATGGGTCCAGTTCCTTTGTTTGTTTACTTGAATCCTCCGAAAGCTTTGCCTCAGAAGCGGAGCTTTTGCTGCCGGCACACACACACACAGGCAGGCGGTATAAGAGAGGCACGGCACGGCAAGGCACAGGCTCGTGGGGTGAGGCCGGAAAACTGCAGCAGCCGTCAAAACCGTCGGCCCGGTTTTTCCTGCGTCAGCAGCTTCAACAGCCTGTGACACAGTTTCGACATCTGGGGGTGGCTTTTAAAACGAATGAATGGGGGTTGGAGTGGCAGCGCACGCACTACCCCACCCCACCCCACCCCCCTCTCGTTATCGCATGGGCGATCGCTGGCACATCTTCCTACCGCGCAGCAAACACACCCAAAGAGAGTCCATCCAGCCAGCCCATCCCATCCGCCAGGGAGAACTCCCCATTTAAGTATGTGCGCAAAAAGGGGGATGGATGGCGCGAATATAGCAGGGGCCAGGGGGTTGGTTGGTCTACTTACCATGCAGCGCGGTGTAATAAGTTTTGATGTTGTTGTTGTAGTTGTTGTTGGTTTGTCCGCAGGATGTGCGTTGTAATGTTTCGTGGAAGTAAAAATAGATTGCATTATTAAGGAGAAACACGGAGGAGGAATGTTAATATCATCTGTTCATGTTATTCTATTTCTTCGTTTAGCCAAAATTTCCTCATGTGCTCGCGGGGTGGGGTGATGGTGGGTTGGGGAAAACAGCATGGAAAATGCTCTGTGATTGATTAGTGACAACAATGTGTAGTGGATGTGTGTCTGTGTGTGTGCGTTTGTGTGGAATGACCCAATCCACGTGCCACCTGAATGAAGGGGGTTCCGAAAAATTTCGATAAATTCCAATGAAAGAAACTTTTGGGCCACAAATTTCTCTGCTTATGTGTTGGGACAGGTTACGGTGGGTGGGGGTAATGTAATGCAAATCAATAGGGGAATAGTGGAGTGGGTTGGAAAAGCTTGGAACACATGGTAAGCAAATCGTCCACTCTCTCGCTCTCTCTACTCACACGGGCCACCACCAATCAGCTAATGCCAAAGGCCACGTTAGCACTCCGGCGGAGGGTGGCGTAAGTATTCCTAGCCAGAACCTTTGCACTGCCAATTTCCCATAAATGGGACAAATTAACCAAAACGTTGACGATTATTTTCGTTTAGTAATAACGCCGTTTTGTAATCTCTTTCGTTCTTATTTAAGGCACTCTTTGCGTGACGGCAAAGCGGGACAGATCTTTGGATGCTTTTATCACTTTATTTCGTTGCTCCTTTGGATGCCGATGGGTTATAGGCGTCGGGGAGGCGAGTAGAGCTGTGATGAATTTTACAAAGGCACGTAAAATGAACTAAAAGAGAGATAGACACAAACGGATCTTTTGTCACATCTTCTTTTCACATAAGACATAAAAAAGTTCAATGCTATATTGTGTGTTTTTGAGGGTTGCTTCCGCTTTGTTGAAACTCGTTTATATTGTTATTCAAATTCTCAATGTCTTGCGATAAGAAATCGTAATGTTTGGGGCACCACTTGTATTGCCTGCTGCTGTTTGCCGTTACACACACACACACCCGAATATATAGATTTAGTTATTCAGATTTATCTAGATTTCACTGCCACGTTACTGGGCCACTAGCCACCACATATTGTAGCCAGTTTAGGCCAGGCCAGCAGAGGCCACCAAATACTTGGCCAACATTTGAATGTTCAGCCACAGCGGCAACAACAACCATACAAGTATCAATGAGAGCGGATCAGCTGTTTGCAGCTTCAATGCAGATGCTGCGGTTGTTGTTGTTGTTGCAGCAGCCCTAATACCGTTTGATTTTTGCTTATTTCGAGTTCGACATTTCTACAAATTGTTTTATGTTAAGACACAGACACACGCGCTCACACTTATATGTAAATTGTATTTTATTTTTGCAACGCTTTTTAAATATTTGCGGTTCTTGCCAAAATTCCACTACCAATGCAGTCCCAGGCACACGTACACACACTCACACACGAATACACTTGACTTGATGACTTTAGTGTTGTTTTTGTTTCTTTATTTTCGTGTTTTTCAGAACGGTACCGTACAACTTTTGCCGCCGCTATTTCATTTATTTTTCCGGAGCCAAAAAAACAACCAACCTTACTCGTTAAACTTTGACTTATCGTATATCGATAAGAAATCGAGATTAGCCCACTTAAACCCCCCGCGGCAAGTGGCGGAAAATTTTACTGATTGTAAACTCGTTTTGTGGATTCATGCCATCTTTCCTCTGAACTTCAAAATAACCACGCTAACTTTTACCTCAACTGCGCTAACATTATTAAATTCTCATTATTTTCGGTGGAAAATTGAAATACCCCTTGGCTTGCAATGGGTTAATCGTTCTCCGTCGAGTATTGGAAAGCATTTTTCTCAATTTTGATGTTCCGTCGAATATTACTAGCTAGATAGAACATTTAGTCACGCCCACATAATTTGATACGATTCATGAATCAATTTTCTATTTAACTGGTGTATTCTTAATACTTGCTTTCAATATGCGAAATAAGTCAAACAAAAAACAAGTAGCGAAATAGGTCAATCAAGACAAACGGAAAAGGAAATTCGTTCATATTGCTCAATTTTGATATTCCATTGAATAATGCTGACTAACTAAATCTCTCATCAATGCCCACATAGTTTTATCCCATTGATGAATAAATTTTCTACAAGATTATATAGTTTTTAATCCTTGCTTTTATTGTATTTATTGTAAAAAAAGGTTTAAACGAAAAAGTTCAATAAAAAAAGAGTCGTTAAATTGCGTGTAAGCGGTAGTATAGCCTTTGTATACCCTATTTTGTTAATTTTATATGAAGGTATAAATATTGATATGAAGATAAAACGTAACTAATAAGGACCTTTTCTCAAATTTACATTTTTTAGACATATTCATGTGTATGATGAGTGATGAGTATATGATCCCGATCCTGATACCTATTCTTGGTCTCTACAAGCAGACAATAAGCTTTAAAATTTCGTTGAAATATTGAAAATAATATTGAATCATATTAAAATACATTGAAAATAAATTGTTTTTGCCTGGGATGACAAACATATTCACAATCCTATAACATCCATTTCCCCCAGGGTATGTGTACATAGAATGAGATTCATTTTTGCGAACCGAGTGAAAGAGGTCCTTACCCGATTCAAGTTCTGTTATCGATTATCGACTGGATACGAGTGGTGCGCGCCAAATATAACTATTTTGAAAGTGAAAGAGCGGATTTAAATGTAGTTAATTGGAATACAAATAAGAAACCTACATATGGAAGATTTTATACCCTTTGTTCTTGCAAATGGTATATTTTCTTAAATATTCCTATGTTTATTAATTTAATGCATGGTTGATTGGTTTCGGTTTAATTTTACCCAAAAAAATACCGAAAAGCATTAAAAATGCCGTAAACGCTCATCCGGAATGTAAGGGACTGTAAGCTTTTGAGTTCCTCTCTCGCTCAACAGAGGTCTGTTAGCGAAAGCTTTTAGATCACAGCACCAGCGCGGGAGAATTTGAACTTGGTTCAAGTTGAAATGAAAGAATTTAAATTTTTTATTCGTACGAAACGCTTAAGGGTAATTTTAGTTGTTCCTTGTCGCCCCAGCCATACCCAGGAGCATACCCATGAAGACGCTCTTCAGATCGTACGCCCAGGCAAGATAGGCAAAGATCATGACGAAGAAGTCTTGATCACCTCCTTCTTATAGTGACTTCGAATTAGACTTGCATTGCATCTATTAGTACTCCGTACATTGTCTTATAAACTACTTCCATTAAAAATTCAAATTCTCTATGAATGCAAGTTTTGTGGAGGCAAGCAGGAATGTGTTTATTGGTGGCATTGGGGACTTTTAATTATAAATGTGGGAGCTGTCGATTCTCGGAACAGCTGCCGTGTGCCACAGGGCTTGCACCTGCTACAATCTAAGTTAATTAATTAAATGTTTAATGAGTAAAAAGTAATTCCTCCAACATACCGTGTAGTCTATAGTAGAGATGGGCATATTTTAGGCAAATATGGTCAAAACCGCTGTGTACCGTAAAGATACTAGAAATAAAAACACACTTTCATTTGGTTTTCACATACAAACGTTGGTTGTTTATTTCACTGTACGCTCTTTTTGTTGAATATGCATATAATGTTTGCGCCTCTATTCCTTTCGCCTCGTCTCGCCTCGCCACGACTCGACTCCTCCGCCGCTATAACTTATGCCGCTCTTACAGTTCTAAATGAATCCGTTGCTGATTTACTTTATATATATTTTGATCTCAAGTCAATGTTTGCTCAATGTCTCTTCCTGCATCTGCATATGCCTCGCCACGTATGTATATTGAATATTCTTGTTGTTGTATATAAGTGTATAATATATATATTTAATTTAATACATAAAAAGTATGCGCTCGCTCCGCGCACGGGTATCCTCGATCTGCTCGATCTCCTTCTCTCTTGTTTAAAATAGTTTACGTGTGTGTTTAATATTAAATTGTTGCCTGCCATTGTTGCCGCAACGCTGCAGCAAAGATCATATATAAAAATACAAAAATCATAACATTTACATACGCCTCCGACTGACGCGTCTGGCCGCCATATAACTAGGTATTCCATATAATCTATATATTCATACTCGTACTCGTACGTACGTCTGCATATCGACGCCACCTTGCACAGTACAGTCAATATATATGTACTACATCAAATGATCGTTAAATTACAGAAAACTAAACGTATTTATATGCATTCGAATTATACACAACTACACCGATCGATCCAATCGGATCCGATCCGATCCGCAGTATAAATAAATTTCTTGTCCACTTAATAAACAATTTCACTTTTGTATGCCTTAAGAACTAAACTCTCCTGCTGCTCCTACTCCGCATCCTCCTCCTCTGCCCTAGTGCCAGGCCAGACCCTCCGCGCATCCTCGTTATCTGCGTTCATTCAATAATTTCACTATTTAGTCTTAGTCGTATGTATATGGAAGTTGAAATCGGTACTCATATGTTCAAGATCGGACGGGAAGGCGCTCGCCCACCGCCGAATCTGGGGAGGAGTGTACAATATTTAGTGGCTTTCCTTTATATATATATATATCAGTATGTATATATATATTTATGTATGTATAATACGCAGCAGTCAATTGTTAATTTAGCTTTCTAATTTCGCTGTATAGATCGTATAGATCGCTTAGATCGCAGGGGTAATGCATGTTTACTTGTATATCTAACGCTAAGTTGCTCGAGAGTCAGAGTCCTGAACACCGCACTCAATTCCGCTTTGAACTGTTGATGTTTCGGTTTCTGTATCTGTTTTTGCTGAAGACTTGCTGGTTCTTGTTCCGATGTTGCTTAAATTGAGTTCGTATGAGATCGTGTGCTTAGGAAATTGGTTTCGGTTTTCTTTTTTGTGGGGGGAAATGCAGTGAAGTGACCTTTCTCTCGTTGCTCCTCCACAGACCAGACGACTGTGGGAGTATGAGAGATGGATAGATAGATCGACAGATAGAGAGAGAGAGAGCGTTGATGGATGACATTTGTGGAATAGTTTTGTTTCGCCTCGCCTCCAATCGTAATACTTAATTTCTTTTAGGTTTGGTTAATGAGTATGCCATGCCCATATATAGGTACTATATAAAGTTATGTATATATGAAAGGGTGTCCTTTTATATGTACGTATGCATATGGGGTATTCGTGTGTTTGAGTGTGTCTGTGTATTCGTGCACCGATCCAGAGAGATACATCAAAATGGTATGTATTACAAAAGTGGTTCAAAAACATTCGGCAGATAGGGGAGGGGGGAGGGGACAGGGGACTGTTGACAGAGAACAAACTAAAAGGAATCCGCCTGGTGGGAGCGAGGGATTGGGAGAGGAGAGGATAAACGAAAGAATTCTGGTTCTCACACTAAAATTGGTTTAGACTTATGCAAAATAATGTACAATTGTAGAGTTAATTACATACTGAGGGTCGCCGAATATATAGACGTATACGTAGACGTAACTTAAAAGTCGGTAAGCAGTTCCCACTAAAAATATAATTACTTTGACTAAAGTTCCACCTCATACGCCTATTCTGCGTTTGTGTGTGTTTTTTGTGTTTGTGTTTGTGTTTATGTAACCCTACATATAACCTAGAGCATATGCTTTATACATATTTACTCGTATGTATCTTTTCTGTGTACGTATTTATGCCCATGCCTTCACGCCCCACTCCTTCGGTCCCCGAGTGCATTCAAGCTTGCTCCTACTGCTGCTGCTCCTCCGACTTGGACCTTCGAGAGTGCGGGGCCCACGCATATCTCGATAATATGTTGATCTATCTGCGATTGAACTCCGATTTGATAGCTGCAAGAACACACAAGTTTTATTAGACACCATCCGCAGGTCAGAGAAGGAATTGATCCACCCACCATCTATGATCTCGTTCTTGACCTTCTGGATCTCCAGGCGCATCTCGCGCACTATCTCAGCCTTCAGTGTGTCCAAGTCTCCGTTGGACAGTGCCAGGGACAGGCCATCGCCGTTCACCTGTCAGACAACAGAAAGAATTAGCCTCTTGTGCCGAATTCAAGGGAAAACTCCAAGAGATCTCTCACCTTCAGAATGGTCTCCTCGCTGGCACTGCCGAAGCGCTTTCGCATGGGTCGTGGCGATTCCCCGCCGCTGTTCGTTGTGTTGCTGCCAGCTCCGCCAGAGCTGCCGTTGGGCCCGTTCGTCCCAGAGCCGTTTCCGGCACCGCCGCCCAGCTTATGGGGCAGCGTGTTGGACTTCTCCCACGGACGCTGCTTCACCTCGGGCTCAGGATCGGGCTAAAAACGGACAGAACAAGGAATTAGCTAAATGGAAACGCCCACTTCAGTGCACTCACCTCTTTCTTCTCGGCCTGGGCACGACGCCGCGCCAGCGTCTTGGCCATCTCGTCCATCATGGAGGCCATGCCATTGGAGCTGCGTCCGATTGTGCCATAGTTTCCGCTGCCTCCACTGGAGGTGCTGCTGCCACTGTTCTCCGGAGCAGAAGTCGTGGACTGTGAGGGAGAACGGATAAGGGATAAGCCATAAGGGATTATATAATGTACTAGGATCTTCCAGTGCCGGAGAATGGGTCCCCCACTCACCTTGTTTTTCTTGAGCTTGAGCTGTTGCAGTTGGGAGGCCAGCGAGCCCATGAGATCTGCTTGGGGGTCATCTTTTTTGGGCGCTCCGCCCATTCCCGGGGGCGGAGGCGGTGGAGGAGGGGCGCCAGGACCCCCGGGACCACCCGGAGCTGGCGGTCCGCCCATGGCTGGCGGCGCTGGTGGCGCCGGTGGAGCCGGCGGCTGCGGCGGAGGCGGGGCTCCGTTGAACATCTGTGGCGGCGCTGGCGGAGCTCCGCCGAAGGTGGGCGGCGGCGGGGGCGGGGCTGGAGCAGCGGGCTGGCCCCCGCCCTGGCTGCTCATGCGGTTCAGAGGGATCTGGCCTTGTGACGGATTCATGGGCGGCGGCATCGGCACCTGGCCATACGGATTCTCCGCCTGCTGCTGCTGCTGCTGCGGCGGCGGCTGTGGATGTGCCTGGGGCGGACCGTAGCCGGGAGCGGGCATGGCTGGCGCCTGTGGCGGCTGCTGCTGCTGGACCATCTGTTGCTGGCTGGCGTACACGACGCTGTTGGCGCTGGCCGAGCTCGGGATGTGGCCGTGTCCGTGGCCGGGCTGCGAGACCACGTAAATGGGTCCGCCCCCGTTCTGATGCGGCGGCTGGGGCTGCTGCTGCTGCGGCAGAGACTGCTGTGGGGGCTGTGTCGGGTATTGATGCATATTGAGATTGGGATTAGAATTGGAGAGCACGTAGTGCGGCTGCTGGTACTGATGGTGTTTCATTGGAGCATTGGAGCATTGGTGGTGGGTTCAGGTGGTGCGGGCGGTTCGGGTGGATCAAGAGGGGTGGATCAAGCCAATTTGCGGATGAAATGAAACAGAAAGACAAACACGTGGCAGCGAAATGAGGAATCTGAATCTGGGATCTGCCAGGATCTGGACATATGTATGTTCTGGACGTACCTGAGAGGGACCCGGATAGCCCGCCTGGACCATCTGCTGCTGCTGCTGCTGGGCGGCGTAGACGGGTTGCTGCTGCTGCTGCTGCTGGTACGGCTGCTGTGGCTGTTGTTGGGGCTGCTGCGGCTGCTGCAGGGCCTGGCCCGGGGCCGGGGGGATTTGTGGGTTCACCTGCGGCGGTAGGCCGTTGGGCGTGGGTCCGTTGCCGGCGGGCGGTCTGTAATGGGGTCCCGGCGGGGCCATCTGCTGCTGCTGCTGCTGTTGCTGCGGCTGGGGGGCCGGCGGTGCGCTAAGGGAATTCCTTTAGTGAGCAAATTTCAGCGGAGGATCGCATGCAAGGATGAGGCATGAGCGGGAGGATGAGAGAGTGAGAGCATGGATTAATGAGTGCCCGATCGAGTGGGGAATCGATCCCTGAGGCGGTGGATGAGAGATGGTAGCGGTACCCACCTGCTGGTGCGATGGTGGCCCTGGGGCGTCGGCGGACTCTGGGGTATGTTATTCTGGTTGGTCTGCGAAGTGGGCGTCTGGGCCGAGGGCGTGATGTGGCCGGCAATGCCGTTGTTCTGCCGGAGAATGGCCGCATCCTCGCTGGTCATGGTGCGGTAGCCCATGTCCTCCTCGTACCCGTTGCCATTGGTCGGTTGTCCGCCCGGGTTGTTGGCCACCCGGCCGCTGAGCACCTGCAGCGATTGAGAGACGGACTATAGATGGGGTGGGGAAGCGGCCCGAGCAAGCGGCACTTACCTCCAGCGCGTGCATCATGGCCCGGGCGAAGTTCTCCGCATCGTTCTGGCTGGAGAAGTTCAGCCCGTAGACGAACTTGGAGTCGCGCCACTGGTGGAACGTGGCCGTGGCCTGGTTGTACTTCAGCCCCTTCAGGATCGAGCAGTTGATCACCACCTCGAGGTCGTGCAGCTTCCGTCCCACCACCCGGAACGTGTTGTTCTGCTGGTGGTGGTAGATCTGCACCTTGCTCAGTCCCGACGAGCTCCCCGAGGGCACCCACTTCTTCTGGTTGTCGTCGTAGACCATCACAGAGGCGCGTGCCCCGATAATGCTCTGCTCACTGGAATCACAAGAGACAGAACACAGGATTAGACAGTGGAACGGTGTAGAGTGGAGAGAAGGGAATGATGATATACGAGTAATGAGTTCAAAGGAAGAGATCAATAACAATTACTAAATGGATTTCCCAGAGTCTGTTCCGAGAAACGGAATGTCATTAGAGCTTATTCTTCTTCTTCTTTTTATGTGGATCCGCTTCGCTCCGATCCACACACTTTTCACACGACTCCACGTCTCGAGAGTGCTTTGTATCTATGTATCTATCCCACCAGTCCCTCCCCACACCTGGCGAGCTGGAGAACTGGAGAACACAGGAAGTGCAATGCATTTCTTTGCCTTGCGGCGAAGGGAATTGCTCACACACCTGTCATGCAGCCAGTCGTGAGCGTCTACAGTCTCCAGTCTTCAGTCTTCAGTCTTCCGTCTCTCGAGTCTCACGGAACGATTAAATGATTCTAATGAAAGTTCTAATATGCTGCTGCTCTGATGCTCAACCTTTAGCATTTTTCCCCTCTTCTCTTCAGTTGACAATTAAAGCGGAAAGGGGATCGGTTTGGATCGGGTACTTGAGCAAACATGTGGCAGGCAGGCAGGCAAACAGCAAACAGCAAATGAACGAACGAACGAACGAACGCCTTCATTGGAAAAATGCAAAGGCGATGACGAGTTGTTGACTTGCCCCGCGACTCGGTTCTGCCTGTTTTTTTGCTGTCTTGCACTGCTCCGAGTTGTGTGTTAGTGGGGGAAAGAGATAATGACAGCAGCAGCAAAAGCAGCAACAGAAACCGACCACAAAACGAGTCGAGTCTGCAGAATTCTCGCCTTAGCCAGACTCTAGCTCGCGAGACTCGCGAGACCTGGTCCAAGCCAAAAGCCGCGAGTAGTTTTGCACTTAAATGGAGCTCCGCGGACGGGGCGGACAGACGGCAGGCAGAAATCTCTGTGCGAACCCGAGCTCTGGCCACAGCTGTGCCGTAGATCTCCTTATATAACTACTCGCGGGGTGGCCAGAGGGGGCTCTGTGCTCTGTGCTCTGTGGCTGTGGCTTCGATTTGCTTCGAACGAAAGTGAAGTGAAGCCTGTGTTTCCCCTGACACCCGCCCCCCCTCCACCCTCCCCCCCACTTGGCCATAGGTGAGTAATCCTAGAAAACGAAAATTGGCAAACAAATGAGCATGTGGCAGCTCTGGAGATCGGCGAAACCTCTGCTGAGCACTGAGCACTGAACTGCTGCTCTCTTTCGGGTGGTGCAGGGGGTGGGGGCGGTGTCGTGTAATGGGAGGCAGGTGAAATTGGGCACGGCGGGGCACTTTAGTTAGTCGTGCGTTAAGCTGCATGCAGATTCGTTGTGTTGTGTGCTTCGCTTCTGTGGTGCAGCACACACGAAAGTGGTTTCCAACTTAATTGGCGTTAAATTATAATTATGATTATGATTAAGTGGGGGCCAGTGGGGTGGGTGAGGGAGGGCTGGGGGGCAGGGCGACGTCTACGTGTAGCAGTAAAAGCGAATTCTTTGATTTCTCGCTGAAATGAAGAACGTAGCTGAGATGACGAATTCTTTCATCCATTGCCATATGCCAAGCTATGCTGCTACGTGCCGGAGAGATCCCACCCCAACCCAGCAACACCCAAGCCCCCCAAGGACGTTGCCCAAAAGGCCAATGAGGGGGAAGGAGGGGCAGTGGGGAAAGTGTTGTGGGGGGGACTCAAAACATACGCAAAAATTGTTGTCATGCCCCCAATGGATTTATCTTTGACCGAATTATGGCGACGCTGAGGGAGGATTCGTTGCTGATTCTGTTGTTGTTGTTGTTTCTGTATTATGTTGTGTTGCATGTTGTTGTTGTTGCTGCTGTTGTGTTGCTGTTGTTGTTGCAGGTAATGATGTATGTTGCTGTAGAGATGCTGTTTATGTGGATGTTGCTGCTGCTGCTGCTGTGTTGATGATGATGATGGGATTGTTCTAATTGAGAACGACATGGAACAGCCAAGTCTCGATGGGCCAGCCTTAGAAGGGTAGGAGCAGGAAGTGGAAGTGGAAGTGGAGGAGGAGGAGGCGGATGAAGTGGCGCCACTCGTGGAAGAAGTGGGGCAGAAGGTAGAAGCAGCCGGCGGGTTAGAGGTCGTTGGATCGGAGGGGGAAACGCATTTGCGTAGAGTGGAAAATATAACCGACGACGAGGAGGAGGACGAAGCACTGGAATGGGAGGTTGATGCTGATGCTGATGCTGATGTGGATGTGGATGGAGTGGCTATCGTGTGTGCTGCAACTGGGGCAGCTGTGGCTGATGGTGGCTGTACATACAACGACTGATCCTGGACGGATCGCTGGTGTTGTTGGTGGGGCGCTTCGTAGATGGGTGCGGCGCCCCGGTCGGCCTTCGGCAGCTGCAGGACGAGCTGCTCGTGCTCGTGGTAGGCCGACCGCTGGCGCAGGAGCAGCTCCTGCTGCTGCTGCTGCTGCTGCTGGTAGTGGTGGTACATGGGATGGCGGTAGTCGAGCAGATCCAGCTCCTGCAGCTCCTCGATGCTGTAGTACTCGGACAGGCCCTTGACGCGGTGCAGGCTCTGGCTGCGACGAATCAACTCCCCGGCGGGCTGTGTGGCAGCCACGGGGGCACCCTTCGGCGCCTGGAACTCGCACATGCCGCCGGCGGGGCCGGTGGACTGGTGGTAGGCCAGGATGGGGCCCGAGGAGGCCACCACGGCATTGGGTTTCTTGCTGCTGAACGAGGTCTTGGCATAGAGTTTCTTCATGGCCATTAACTGTTGGCCAATATTTGAAGAGGCGGCAGACACGCACACAGCTGGGATCCCACGATCCCACACACACACGCGCGCACACACACACAGGCACAGAAAAACACTCGGAAACCGACGACGGACGACCGACGATCAACGATCAGCTATCAAAGATCTCAGATATATCCAATTTATGTTTGTCTAGGCTCCGCTGCCACTGCCACTGCCGCTGCCTCTTCCCACTCGGATCTTGGATCTGTTGGTGTCTGCGGTCGGTGTCTCTGCTCTCGTGCCACGTCCGATCCAACTGAAACCGCGATTGAGATTGAGATTGAGACTGCGGCTCGAAACGAAACTAAACGGCTCTGGCATTCGACTCGCACCAGTCGGAGGCCAAGACAACTCTCTGGCCCCGACGACGACGACGACGCTCACTCTCCCGCCCAGCCAATGGCCAACAGCGAGAGCAAGAGAGCGAGAGCGAGAGCGTATGCGAGCAGAAGAGAGAGAATGGATGGATGGATGGTTGGAGAGCGATAGTGGATAGTCGCTCTGTTTGAGCACTTTGAAACCGTCTAAAAGGCAAATAATTACTCTTCAAAGTCAATAAAATAATGAGAAATGATGAGATGATGGCGGATGAGTGATGAGCGACCCAGAGAGGTGGCCAGGTAGTGGAGCAGATCGCTTAGTCAACAGATACTGCAACATGCCTCACGGGCTTCATACCAGAGGCAGTCTCTGGCAAGGCAAGTATTAACCCAGAAGATCTTCCAAACAGATCTAGAGGCAAAGTACAAGCACATTCGAGAGATAGAAAGACTATCTTTGAGGTTTATCCTTGGCGTTCTACCAGATCCGGCTACGAACAGTTCCAAAGTCTCTTCGAAAGGGTATACGAAAAGTCCTCTAGCGAAAAACCTCCCAGTGCGAAGCTGGCGGGCAATCTTTTTTGTTTAGACAGCGACAACTTCTCATGACCGTCAGTCAGTCAGTCAGTCAGTCCGTCAATCTGTTCGTCACTTGGTCATTCGTTCAGTTAGTCAGTTGGTGGTTTCATTCGTTTGTCCGCCAGTGCGATAATTACTTAAGAAACGAGCTCAATAATTTATATTTCCCCCTCGAGTGACTATTACAAGTATTTTTTATTCCTTCCTCCCTCTCCCTCTCTCTCTCTCTCTCAACTGTTCTTTGGCGGCGGAAAGCGCAGAGAGGGGCAGAGTGGTGGAGGGGCAGAGGCGGTGCACAGCTTGTGGCATGCTATGAAAAATTCATATAAAATTGTAAATCCCGCGACTGTGTGCTCCGGTCTGGAGAGGTCTTGAGATTCAGATCTGTTTCAGAGTTTCAGAGCTCCAGCGTTGAGGCTTTCGGCTTTTTGCCCCTCAACTTCTCGTCTCAGTTCTTGAATGTAATTTCCAATTAACATTGTTGTTGTTTTTGTTGTTGTTGCCCCGATTATCGTATTGCTTTAATGGCTTTGTCAGAATGGTAGCCCCTCAGACCCGCTCCGCCTTCGGTCTAGGGTCTAGGGTCTGGGCCTAAACGTGTGCCGCGGCTTAAATGATTTGGCAACTAAATATTTTTTTTTGTTTCCTCTTGTCTGATATTTTGGTAATACCATTTCCATTGGTTGTGTGTCTGGGAGGGCGGGGGGCAGACCCGCAGGCAGACAAGCGACAAAGCAAACAAAAGGCCCCACATGTGAGCAATCACCGCACAGAAAGTAGGTTGCCAGGCGGAGGGGCAGGGCGTGGCAGGGCGCGGAGTCAGCCAGGAGATGGAAACAGTTGACTCCAGGCAAACAGCCAGAAGGGGGTAACGGGGGGGAACGGAATCAATATCCAATATCACTGCACGAAGGAGCGCTTCCTGCTGCCGCTGGCAGCTCCATCATAATAATCCCTTCGACGACAAGAGATTGCGATTGGGGTCACCCTCTCGCCACACTCACACACAGGTGATGAGTGGATGAATGGCAGGATGAATGGATGAGTGGTGCTGTGGTGCAGTCAGCTAATTGGAATCGACTTGAATCACGGCACTCTGGCACTCTCAAGCTTAAAGCTGCAGGTAATCTCTGAGTCTGTCCAACACACAAATAACATACCCCGAAAATCTATTTGGGTTCCGTTTTTGATTCCCCCTTAGACGCCCAGAAGAAGTTCGAAGTTCCCAGAAGATTCGAATCGATTAATGCACTCGATAAGAGCCTCCAATTAATGGTTTGAAGCAATTAGCGAGGGAATCTCCCTCCAATCCGAACAAAGCACGAACAAAGCCACAGCGCCCTATCCGTTTTGACGAGTACCTTGATGGTCCCTCTCCGAGCAGCTCCGATCCGTGGTCCGTGGGACAAATGTTACCCATCGAGCGGCGCAATTGGAACTGGAACTGGCACTGGCCCTGGCACTGGCACTGGGCACCGCATGCACATTATGAGCCGCGAAATACGATAGAACAGACCACGGAATACGAGGAAGCCAGCCCCTGGACGCTGCTGAAACGCTGAAATTAAGTTTAAAGCGAGGGCCGGATTTCCTTGGAGACATCAAAATGATGACACGCCCAAAAAAAAAAAAGCTGGCTGCGTTTTTGCTTATTCACAATTCAGTTACCACCAGTGGGGGAGGGGTGGATGGGGTGGTCTGTGGGGGGGCACTGTTTTAGCCCTGACTAAGCAAACAGACATCGGATCGGATGGGTGAGCTCCCCAAATGGGAAGCCGCACCCCGCTTTAGACCAAACAAACAAATTATGGGGATTAATAAAATATAAAAAAAAAAACGGACGGAAGGAAGGAGTCGCCGTCGCCCACCGTCCATCCCGTTCCCCTGGGTGCGGGCTTTCGCATAAATTCTGGGGCAAATGAGCCACAAAAAGGTTGAAAGTTGACCCATAAATTCCGTGAAAGATGGAGCCAAGACCCGTCAAGGTGGGAAAGTGGTGGAGACGGAGGAGGAGGAGGAATCTGTGAATTGAACTCAATTTGAATGGGATTCATAATTGAAATGTCCTTCACGGGCGATTGACGTGAATGAATCTCTAAATGAATGGGGAATGGGGAGTGGGATGGATGGGGGGGTAGAAAAAGTATCTATTGATTGCCAAAGTCGGGGAATGTAAACTTACGTCATTTCAATTTGGTTTCTTCTGTGGCTGCGGTTATCGTTCTAGTAGTTGCTTCTCTCCCTCTCTCTCTCTCTCTCTCTAAAGGTAGGGGATCCCAGATCCCGTTCCTCTGGCTGGGCTGTGCTGGGCTGGAGTGTCGGTTCCTCGTGCGGCTGCCTTCTGCTCTGGAACACTGAGATCTGCGGAAGAGAGGAGCAAGTGTCGGAGAGGATACAGTGGCAGTCTGGCACAGTCGGGTGTCGTCTCATAAATCAACTTCAGGCACGTGTGAGTATCCAGCAGATAGTTTATCCCCACACACACACACACACACGCACACAGCCTGCAAAATGGTTGCCAATTTCCGCTAGAGAGGACATCGAAGGAGCAGAGCAGCCCACACTCTTTTATTTGCTGGTTTTTTCTGTTTGGATGGATATGAATTGATATTGGCCAAATCGTTTTGGCCACACATCGCACACACACACACATATATCTACATAGATACATTTTTTATGAGGCATTTTGCGTAATGAACAAACCAATTTCTGTGGACGAAAGAGAGGGAGAGGGAGAGAGAGGGAGAGAGAGAGAGAGGTCGATGGAGGTCAACAAACTCTCTGAGAATCTAATAAACTTCAATCCCCCCCCCTTTGGTTCTGGCTCTGGCTCTGCCTCTGGCTCCATCGATAAATCGATGGATTGGAACCTTGAAAAATACTGCCAGCCGCCAGCAGGATGGATCATCAATTAACCATCGCCGTGGTGGCCGGCAGTGAAAGCTTCGACTCTGAATTAATCATTAGCGAAACGAAAGCAGAAAGCCCGGTGACCCCGAGACGCGGAACAATCAAACTGTGGAATAGAACCAGAACGAGAATCCCCAGTTCCACCACCCTCGGGGAATGGGGACTGGAGGGGGGCTTTTTACTTTTTCTTTCTTTCGGAGCAGTGACAAAAGATGGTTCCATAATAGAAGACCACAGAAGAACAGAGGGGAGGGGAGGGGGGGCGCCAAAAGGTAGCATATTTACATGACAAATGTGGTGGCCAAATGGGAGAAGTGGGGAAGAGGGGAAGAGGGCGGGAATCAGGTCAGAGCTCTCTAGAGAAGATCTAGGTGAGCCTCGAAGCAGCCTCCTTTGCAGCCCACCCAGCGGCCACGCCCCATGGCAGCAGCTTCAGCTTCTGCTTTTCTCCTAAGAATGTTGACCTAGTTTTTGCCCCTCACCCACTCTGCTTGCGTCATAGTTCCATAGAACCTTCGCTGGTGGCACGCACTTGCTCAACTATTTTTTTGGAGCCGGAAGTAGTCTTGGTGCAGCATTGCAACGTCTTGGTTTGAGCAACGGCAGGGGGATGGAGTGGCACTGCGAGGGTTGCTCGTTAATTGGAAATGGGAAATGCTCGTACCATTGGGAGGGACGAGCGTGGGGGGAGGGGGGGTGTCCTGTTAATGGGATAACATTTTGCGAGTTAATTTCGGGTATTCCTTGTGCCGTGTGCCGTCTGTTGGGCAAGCAAAAGCCATTGAAGGACATGCACCCGCTGGGCGGGGGAGGGACGCACATGTACCGCTTCCTCCTCCTCCTCCTCCTCCTCGTCGTCCTGCAGCGACAGGGTTGGCCAATTACCCAAAAATACACTTGAAAAAAACAAAAACACAGAGCAGCAGAGCAGCGGAGAGAGAAAATTAAAAACAAGTGAAATATTTCGCACTCTCCCAAAAAGGGGAGGACGGAAAGAGCCACGAGAGAGGCACGGCACAGAGGGGTGGATTTGGGACAACCACCCCGCTGGAAAGGACTCGCTCGCTCTCTCTCTATCAAAGTCGCGGCGGGGGGAGAGGCTACGAGTGTGTACACTCTGTCCGGGATCAGGGATCTACTGGGGTGCAAAAATGGATTGAC